CGGCTCGGCTATCCCTGCAATCTATTGACTATGTCCCAGTCATATACCCGACTATAGTCTTAACCTCCTTTTCCAAGCCAATATCTGAACCTTGGCTCGATCATCCCTCGGACAACGTCCTGTCCACCTTAATCATTTTAATTTTCTCGGATATAGATGCTACAGGTCTGCCTTCTCATGAGCCATCATCGTCTGAATTCAGTGCTTCTCAAGAAAATTCCGAGATCCCGAAGTGGCAATGTACATGATCAGGAAGCGGGATTCGTGAAAACCAGCACTCACCTCGAGAAAGAGCCAAGGGATATCCTTTTAAAAGGATTAACGGAGCTTAAGATAGAGGCATAAGAGGATTGTGGTTATAATCGTAACCAATTTGCACATTGGTAGGATGGCAATGCCCTAGCGATGTATGATCAGGACTTTGCCGCTAATCTTGCCTGGCAATGCACGCCTAACCCGAGATGGGGTACCCCTCTAAAGGAGTTGCAGCATGCGGAGAGCATCTGCAAAGCGGCTTAACATTTCGTACATGTTTTTATCCCCTTTCTATAGTTGCGATATCTTCGTGTTTTTATTTGCAAATTTAAACAAGTCGTCATTATCAAGGAATGAGAATTTATTTGTTGATCATGGAATCGTATGACCGGAGTCTTCGTCTTGAAGAAATGAATGTTGAAAGCATTGCTGCCCAGATCGAAAGGCGTCGAGAGGTGCAAAACAGAGTCAAAGATTTTCAAGCGAAGTCTCTCAGCCTTGAGACTGAACTTCACGATCTTAAGATTGAGGCGGCCGAGTCATTTTGACTCTGAGATGAGGTGGTTGCTCTCAAAGCGCGGATTAACCTTCTCAAAAGGAAAGGTGGCGTAAAAATCATCTGCAGAAAGAGAGAGACTTCACAAGTCTTGCGACAAGGCAGCCTGATATGTGGCTGACAAGGTGTTTAAAAATGCCTTGGCTGGTTTGGGCCGTGCATGAAGTTAATGAAAGATTTATTAGTTCAGAAAGAAGAGGTTGAAGAAGCTGTGGTTGGTATGGCGAAGAAGATGGCCATGATAGCCTACTTAAAATAGATGCAAGCCCACAGGTGGGAGAATTCTTCTAAGATGATTTCTGCCTTCAAAGAAAAGCTCACAGAGTGTAAGATGAAGGGTAATGCCATTGACAAAGTGGTTATCACAGAGGATGATCTCCACTTGACAAACAGGTTAGATCTTTTATTTTGTCTTAAATATTTTTCTTTAAACGTTAAGTAGGTTGTACCCATGAATGTTTACCAGTTTGGTTCGATACGCCTAACTGCTAGGTCTATTTCTATTCTATTTTTGCTGCTCTGGCTTTTTGTATTAACATTGTGTGGAAGAGTTTTCATTCACTAAGAATAATGTAATGATCTTTGAAGAGTTTTAGTTGTCTCGAGTTGTGTTTGCTTTTGCATACGAACGATCAATGTGTTGATCTTATCCAATGATAAAGACTCTATTTTCATGAAAGATACTTGGTTTAAAAAAGCTTGTTGGTTTCACGAGGTAGTCTTCTTTTCTATAGAGACATATTTATATTCGGAGTGGAATCAAGGACTTTCTTTTCTTGACTTATAGCAACTGCATGGTCGAATACAAATAGTATCGAGCTTTTACTTTGGCCGATAGATGTTTTGTATGACCCCGGGCTGTGCGAGTATTAACCTCGACTTTTAAAGTAACTATATTGAACCAAAATTTTAAGTGGTGGTGATCAGCCACATAATTTATTAGTGTTTATGTTAACGTTGGACCATAACGTTGAACTTATACGTTCGTATATTTTGGATTTTCATATTTCTATTCGGGGTGGAAACAAGGATTTTTTTCTTGATTTACAGTAGTTACAACTGCAAGGTCGAATACAAATCGTATAGAGCTTTTACTTCGATCGATAGATGTTTTGTAGGACCCCGAGTTGTACGAGTATTAACCTCGACTTCCTTAAATTTTTGGAAGTAATTATATTGAACCAAAATCTTAAATGGTGATGATCAACCACATAATTTATTAGTGTTTATATCGACGTTGGGCCAGCAAGTTGAAGCTATACATTCATATAGTTTGGTTTGGTATTTGGAGAAGAAGTGTACATGGTGCTTTTGGGCGTATTGAGCTGGATTTCCAAAGACAATCAAAGATAAAATAAAATTTCATTAATGTTATTGATAGACTGGATAAAAGGCTGCTTACGTATCCAAGTGAGATCAAGCCATTCGTAGTTTTTTACAATTATTATTTAACTATTTTTTTTGCCTCAATGGCGTTTAGATGATGCCAAACTGGAAGAAAGATCTTGATGTGATTTTTTGGCGTTGTTTTGGGTGGTCATCGAGGTGAGACGCATCCTTTGTTCACTGATGAAGTATGAGCCCGCCATTTGTTGATTGTCGCGAAGTGCGAAGATGCTTGAGGAAGTCGTAGACTTTATGCATTGGTGGTAGGTTGACACAATAGCCTTCATCTCGTGACTAAAAGGCATGCCGAGGATAGCGTTGCATATATCTGGATTGTCCATAACGATGAATCTAACGATCTTGATTATGCCGCCGATGTAAACAGTCAACCGTATAGTTCTGATGCTGAAGGAGGATTCTCTGGCAACTCCGGTAAGGGGTTTTAGCGTCGCTTTGATATTTGTACCCTGGATTTCTATTTTTGTTTAGATGTCTTTAAAGATAATATTAAACGTGCTTTTGGTATCAATCATGATCTTGGCCACCTCGCTTCCATGGATGTGGAGTTCGACTACCAACAGGTTGGTGAGGGGGTGGGGTGAAGGCCTCGCGTATCTTTTGTTGTGAAAGTGATTGCAGGCTTGTATCCGATGTTGCATGGAAATTTATTGGAGGCGATAGCCTTTCTTCCATAATATTTGATCTCTCTTATAGAGTCATCGCAGCCAGGTAAGTTTTCCATGATCATGTTGATTCTTCTCTTAGATGGCGGGAGTGGGTTATCTTGATCACTCTCCTCATCGTTTTTCTCTGGACGTTTCTGCTCATCTTTGTCTTTCCGCCTGTTAACAGGCGAAGAACTTCAGTGACGCCCTCCCAAACTAGTCCAGCGGTTGTAGTTACTGCAATCTCGGCGATCATTGATATTTGCGGCTCGGCAATCATCCTTGTTTGTAGCTCAGCGGTCATAGGTGGTCTTATCCTGTGATCGATCTTCGTCAACTTCTATTTCTCCTTCTTTATATTTCTTGAATAAAGAGTTTTGGAGGTGGTGACAAGCCAAAGAGGCATGTAGGAAAGGTCGTGATTCTTGTCATTGTCTGTCGAGCTATTTTGGGTGTCACCGCGATTCCACTAGTTACATGGATTCTCCCCTGACTTTCCGATGGTGTGGGATGACAGTCTGCCTTTCCCTGCACGGGAGTCGTGATCCTTGCCTTTTAAACCTAAGGTTTCTTCTATGACATACTTCTTGGTGTAGAAAGACTTCTCCTCTTTGATCTGGATGAACGTTTGAGCTCGATCGAATGCGTCTTCGAGGATCTCTCGTGGGTAGAGATGTAGCTCGTCCATGAAGATGGAGTCATACCAGAGGCCGTTGATAAGTGCCTCCAACGCTATATAATGTTGTATCTGACCATAAGTTGTGGATTCATACCAGAGGCCGTTGATAAGTGCCTATATCTCACGATGTAGACGCGAAGCAGTTGATATCGCTCTTGGGTCAACATGAAGAGGTTGGCAGTTTACTTTGTAATTAACATCGAGTACTACTTCATGAAGGCTGTTGACAGGTCTTTAAATATTTTGATGGATATGGGGTCAAGATTTGAGAACCACTTAAATGTATCCTTGCTGAGGTGTTCGATGATGGTTTGGGAGTAATTAGCTTCATGCTCGGCTGGTTATTCGAAGCACTGTCATTTCATGGCGATGTTGAATCTGGTGAGCCATATTTCGAATCATTTGTGCCGTTGTAGTAGGACAACTTAAGTTTTATCACGGTGCTGAGGTGAACATCCGTGATTACTTGGGCGAAAGGACTTCTCTCCGTTGACTCTATTGGCTCCCAAATCCACCACTTCACTAGCTCGGCTCCTAAGATAACTAAAATTCCATCTCAATTGATGCAGTTTTGTGACCTCGGACTTTACTTCGTCCAGAAGCGTGTTGTCGGCTCCGTTTTCCTCGTCGTTTCTCACCTGCCTATTTATGGCATATGTGGTGGGTGTAGCAAAGGGCTTTTGTCCGAGTGGTGCTGATCACGCGGTGGCCGCAGCTACCAAACTGTTGAGTTGTCGTCGTACTTCTCTTGATGAGGTTGTAGGCCATTAAACTTGGAATCCAAATCTTGAGTGAGTGGTTGTAGGGCGGCCTGGATTACTGTAGACGCTGATGTTGTTCCTGTGGGTGATGGGATCACGCTGGTAGTAGTGACAGTGTTGCCGTGCTTGTCGAGTACAATGATAAAAATTACACTTTGTTAGTTTACTTTGAGAAATACAATGATGCAAAGTTAACCTTTTTTTATTAAAAGAATTTCTTAAATTAATAAATTAGTAGATAAATAATTTGCGCTTTGTACATAATAAAATATTTTTTATTTAATTAATATTATATTTAACCATATTATATAATATAATATATTCAGTTTTAATGTTGGTTTTATATAATATTATAGTAAAATATTAATTATATTATAGTGCTTTTTAGGTATACTAGTATACTAGTATACTTTTTTATGTTGTACACTGCTTTACTCTAATTGGTTTAAATATGAATTTGAATATATAAAAAAACAATATATATATATATATAACTTATATTGTGGAAGAAAACATCTATATCATGACAGCCAAAATAATTAAAAATTAACTATAGTCGGAAAATAAAAAAAAAATAATGTTAATTAAAACATCGATATTTAAAACTGTGTAAATACCATTAAAAAGTGTTTCTGTTCATTTATAAAATATGTATCAGTAATATGTAATATATACAAATAATTAAAAAAAAATTGTAATTATAAATACTTATATGAATCTGAGTGATTGTATTTCTGGAATTTGAGGATCAAATAAAATTTGAGAGCATCCTGATATATTAGAAATATCTGTAAAACCACCTAAATAATAAAGATAACATTTATTATGTAATGTTTGTAAAAAGAATAGAGAAAATTAAAATAAATATCTATTCTATTTTGATTAAAAATTACCTAATTTTCATTCAATTCTCCATAACTTTAAAACACACATTACTATATTAGTGTCGGTAAACCATCAAAACTTATTTAATTCATCGGCAAGATTTTCATAATCAACACATTTGATTTCATTTAGCCTGTAAGTAATTGAGAAGTTATTAAATTAGAGATTGGATGTGTAGTATATATACGTAATAGACATATATATGAAATTTCAGATATGATAAATATTAACTCAGTGTCCTTTAAAGAAAACTTAATTCTCCTCTTTACTTCCCCAAAGAGATCTAATTCATGTTAAAAATTATTGTAAATTTTGAGAAACATAAGTTAGATAATATAACAACAGAATCTTCAGTTTTTAACAAATTCAAGAGAATCAACAAAATTTAGGAATATAAAGAACATACCAATAGTAAACATTGGGTGAGAAAGCCCGCGTAGTATGTTCCGATAGTTGGCAAAACAAAAGAAGTTACAATCTGACAGTGGTTTAATCTTGGAAATAGTTGTAGCCTTTTTGAAAAATGATATAGTATTTGTTCCTTATCGTTTTTATTATGTCGAAAGCGTGAATTATTTTAAAATTAGTTATCTTAAACCAATCACCTTCCTTTAGGATGTTATATATTAGAGCGATTTCTCCATTTTTATTACACAGCCATTGCTAACTATCAGCATATAAATATACATGAGGGAGTCTCTCACAATAAATTTATTAATCAACTCCTCATTTGTGATGATTTTCAAGATTTTGTAAGTATCATGCTTGTAAACAAAGTTTAAAAAGATATGTCTTGCCCACTAAGTTAGTGAGAGCAAGAGGTAGCACGTCTGATACTTCAATCTATTAAGAAATGAAAATTACAGTATTATAATACAAAGTAATACAATAAAATAGTCGTACATGTATTAGTGAATATTACCTCATTCCTAATAGACCAGTAATTTGAAGGCAAGGCTGACGAATTAATAGAACAGCATGATTATCAAAGAGCATCAACTTGGTGTGAGTGACTTTCGGAGGGGGTAATATTTCTAACGGTGTTTCTATGCAGGAACTTCTGGTATTGTATTGACTAAAGCCGTGTTGACAGATGGAAGAGGTAATTTCCAAGTAAGGAAGCTTTACTGAGCACTTCGACCTCTTACTTACTCAATCACCGTTAGAAATAGTACCTCCCTCCAAAATTCGTATTGACTAGAGTTGTGTTGATTAACCATCAAGCATCGATCTGGAGTAGATTGGCATCTTTCTGATGATAGAAAAGTAGCCAAGGCTTATGATGATGTTAGAAAGTCTAGAAACCCAAAAGATTTTAGAGACTTATTTAGAGAGAGAAACTAGAGAGAGGTTTTTATAGAAATTCTGAGATGATTTTTACAATGGGGTGCACACATATTTACAGGGGAGGAATGGTGCACGCTGACATAAGCGCTTACCTCATTCCAACATTATTGATGCGTTGACATAAGCGCTTACATCATTACATATACGATGACATCATCGCTTACATCACTACTTATTTCTTTTAAACACACTTATAATCTTACATAATGAAGTATTTAGAGATACTTCATTTAGTGATCCATCTCGAACTCGATGATATGTTTGTCGCAACAACCGTAGTGATCTCCTGGACATTCGTATTCTTCTTCTGGTTCTTCGAAGTTTTCTTCGGGCTCCGTGTTGACGTCGATGTTGAACATTTTCCCTATTTCGTCAATATTCATGGAATCGTTAGGGAGTTGTGCGTCTTGGAAATATTTCGTCAGGTATTGTTGAGACGTTTCTTCTTGTTTTACTATCTCCAGAATGATCTGCCTCTTGATTTTCGTAGTGTCCGTCATGCTTTCATGTTTCATCATGAAATATTGTAAATCTTCGTCGAGGCTCATCTGGTAGTCAGCAGAATAGTAGATCCAGCTTGGGTTGAATGGGGAAAGTCTGCCTGGCATTGTTGAGCCGAAATGCATGCGTTTGAAAGTCTTCATAAGGTTTGTTGTCATGGATATTGAAGTCTGGGAGGATTGCTCTTTTGTAGTCGTTGTGGTGAATGAGAGTGGGTATAGCACGAAATTTGTTGGATTTGATGTTGGTTTGAACAGGTCAGTGGAAGAAGTATATAGTATGAGGGTTAAAGAACGGATTGAGGCTTTTTTGACCTCTTAGTTGCTTGAATGGCAAGCTTGTTGCTTTTGCTGATCTTCTTTGTTTTCCATTCCAAATGTTGAAAGATGCAAACCACGTTAGGAAAGTTGAGAGACAATCCTTCTGATCTTGCTGGGTATTAATGTATTGATATAACCAACCTATGTCGAACGTGATGCCAATGGTGTAGACCGAGCATAGATACCATAGGAAACACAGAACTTCTTCAGGCATGTTCGAATTTTCGATTCGATAGAGGTGAGCGAACGGATAGCCCGAGTGAATCTCCATTGGTGCGATGTAGTGACAGTTGATACCGTGCTTTGAGAGGATGATTGACTGATAGTAGAAGATATTATGTTGAAGATGTTCGTGTAGAGAGTTTCTTCTGATTAGCTAATGAGCGTCTTTGGGCATGTTGGCTTCGAAGTCGTAGTAACTCATTAATGATGTAGATGAACTCGCCATAAGATGAATCTCCTTTGGTGGGTTTCTGCTGAGCATGTCGGCAAGCGTATTTTTCTTGCCCTTTAAATAGAAGGATTTGAAGTCATATTTTAAAAACCATTCGCTCCATCGTAATAGCTGCTGGTGTGGGACCATTTTTTGTTTGAATTGTAGCATCTTTGGAAAAGAAGACATATCCATTTTGATGCGAAATTTATGTCCAATCAGATGAAACTCGAACTTCTCGATAGCCTTCTTGACTGCTAAGATTTCTTTGAACGTGGAGTGATAATGCATCGCTGCGTCTTTAAAGTGTCCGCTTTTATATCCACAGATTTAATGTTCCCCATTTATCTCTTCAAACAGTATAGCTCCCCAATAGTTTTCACTCGCATCAGTCTGTAGAAGACGTTTCCCCGAGGAGGGAATCTTTAGAGGTGGTGGCTTATGTATCTCTATCTTTAGCCTTTTGACTGCTTCTATTTGTTGTTTAGCCTACTGTGGTGGATTCTTCATCAGCATCTTTTGGAGTGGTCTTGTCAACTGTGAAAGTTGCAGGATAAAGTCGCTTATGTAATTGATTACCCTAATGCATTGCTGAACTTGTCACCTTGTGAGTTTTTCGTCTGGAAAATCAAGAAGAGCTGTAGCTAGATGAGACTGAGGCGTGATCTGTCCGTTGTTAATCTTCATTCCAAGAAAGTCGATGTTGGGCTGGGCTATAATCATCTTTCGGGCCGAGAGCATAATTCTGATTCCTTGATAACGCTTTGAAGCTTTCTGAGAGTCTGAATATGCTATGTTGTACTTGACAAAAATATGATAATGTCGTCGATGTAAATTAGAGCTGTGTCGATTAGTGGCTTGAATATCTTCAACATCGCCTGCTGGAATAGTGAGGGTTCTGTCTTTAATCCAAAAGGCAGAACACTCCACTGAAGATGGCGATTTGGCAGACATAATGCTGTCTTGTACCTCTCTTTTGGATGAACTCCAAGTTGCCAAAACCCTGATTTGAGGTCGAACTTCAAAAATATTGTTGCTCCTTGTAGATGTTGTAGAAGGGCCTTCTTGTTTGGCAGAGGGCACTTGATATCTTGAAGATATTGGTTCAAAGGCTTGTAATCGACAACTAGCCTAAGCTTCCCTCTTGCTTGTTCTGCTCTGTTGTTGACGCAAAATGCTTTGCACGCCCATGGTGAATTTTTTGCTGAGACGATTCTTGATTGACCAGTTAGTCACATTCTTTGTTCACCTGTTGCAATAAGGTAGGTGGCATTCATGTATGACTCGCCTTTGTTGGAGTAGTATGGACATCTTCTTCGAAAGGTAATGACACAAAGAACTCCGAATTAGCCACAGTGGATTGTTGCACTTCTGAAGGAAATCCATATGTGAATCTGCGCATGAGATTATCGTGATTTCTTCTTTGATCTTGTTGAACTCGGGAGGCGCTGCTTCTTCAAGTGAAAATATGCAAGGTAATGTAGTAAAGGCTTTGTAGAAAGACTTCCACTTCATTCCTCGCGGTTCGAGCGAAATATCGAACCTTTTCTTTAACGCATAATATGTATCACATCCCATGATTAGATCTTTTCCCAACGCATCCTAGAACTTCTGTTGTAACTTGACATCCTGGGAAGATTTCTATGGTTATTGGTTTGGACTTGAGCTTAACAGATAGCGAGCCAGCGTTTGCGACTCGGAACTCTTGTTAGTGTGGCAGCCACATAGAAGACGGAAGAACTATAGATGAATGAGCGCATGTGTCTATCAATGCGATAGCATGAACTGGTTCTTCTTTTCTCCATGGGTCAAAGATCGTGACAGGCAAGTGTGGCGGTTGAACCTCATCCTGCCGTGGAATTTCAGTGATTTTAAAGCAACAATCTTTTTCTTCTTCGGATGATGATTCAGATGAAACATCGGAATCTGAGTATCTACATATAACATCATTATCGTCACTATCGTATGATAGAACAGACTCAAGGTCATGATTGTCGAGGTTGATATCTGGTGCAATACTGGATATCGAGTTAATGAGATATTGCTTCTTCTTCTTTGACTTATTTGGACATTTTTTTGCGAAATGTCCTTCCTTACAGAATAGAAAGCATCTCGTTGTCTTCTCGAAGCTTCGTTTCTTTCTGAAAAAACGCTTACGCCTGAACCTATTAAATCGTCCTTGGAACGGTTTTCTAAATCTTCCAGATTTGCCTCGAGGTTCGCATGAACAAGTCTCCTTGGATTTAGAACACTTGATTGATAGGTCTAGTCTGGCACATATTTTGGGCAGTTACTTTAATTTGTCCATCAATTCCATCTAGAACTTCTTTTGCTTGCAAAGCTTGTCGAGTGTTCGGAAGACGTATTGCTGGATTTGACCAATGGATATTTCTTCGATTCTTTGTCTTTGGTCTCTGATATACAGCTTGGTATGTTGACTCAGGTAATCATCTATGGAGGAAAGGTAAACTTGCTTCAAGCTTGGGTTATTGAGGCCAATGAGTGCATAATATCTTTGTGTTAGGCGTTCAAAATGTTTAGCGAAATCCTTCTTCTTGAGCGAACAACACTTTGCTAAGAAAAACTCTTCTTGTAGTTGTTCTTTGAGATGAGTAGGCGTACCAATGAATTCTCTGTGAATTTCTTTCAAAAGTAATGGAATAGTCGTCTGATAGACTTGCTGTTATCGGTTCGCCCAGTGAATTCCACTATTCTTTGAGAGCTCCGAATATTCGTGCCGTAAATAGCTGAATGACAAGCTCTAGGGGTGATGTGATGGCTTTTGAAGTCATCCATGCATGAAATTAGTCGAGTCGATCATTCCATTTTTCGAAGGGAATGTCATCGAACGTGAATATCATGACTTTTGAAGTGAACTACTTTGGTGGAAGCTCTTGATTTCTGGGGCGTGTGTAACTCATCTCCTCATCACTCGAATCGACCTCATTAATGTTTGGTTCCCTTTTTGGAGCGGTTGAACCTTCTCCGATGGCAAATTGCTTTGGGATTTACTCCTCATCTGAACTATCCTCATAGCTATCAGAACTCGTGTCAGAAAAATGGTTGATCATCTCGATTGGTTGCGTTGAGCTGATTCGAGGTGTTTGGTCCTGTCTTCGAGGCGTCGTTTCTCTAGAAGTTTGGCCGATAGTATCGAGTAGGTTAGACATCGAAAATTCGATTATCCCAATATCCTTCTCTTTCTTCTTTGAATCATCAATAGATTTGTGACTTGAGGAGGAGGTTAGAGTTGGTCTCTTTGTTGGATTTGCTAGGAATTCTGATTCTTTTTGTCTTCTTGGTTTCGCACGAGTCGGCTTTGTTTTGAAATTACTAGCCGATGGTGTGCCATATCGAGATGTGAAAGCTTCGTCGGATGATAAGAATCCTGGGAGAGATGTCTTCGTCTTAGGTTCTTGATAACCAGAGAGAAAACCTGGGGAGTAGGATCCCTGATACATAGAAAATCCTGATGGCATACTTCCAAGAGGATTAAAGTATGTATCAGCTTGATTCTGGTTATGAATCATACTTTCTAGGCATCTCTGGAGATCTTTTAACTGGTTTTTGAGGCTGGCTGTCTCAGCTTCTTTGCTTCTGAAATTAGACGTATTAACTATCATGTGCTGTGCCATAGCTGTCATCTCTTTATAGAGATTTCTGAGTCGACCGTGGCTCTCCATTATTGAGTTTTATAGGTTGCTCAATCTTTTGTTGTAGTCATCAGTAAATTGATCAACTTTATGATTTATTGTTGTCATAAGTTGATTTTGGGTGAGGATATTTTCTGTTTGCCAATTAAGGACCTTTAGTAAAGCGATTCATACTTTGGTAAAATTTTAAGGTTGTCTGTCTTGAATTTGTTACAGTAGTAACTAAATCTTAAAAAATCATCCACATATTCCTGGTTGAAATCATCATTCAGCACACGTAAAACTTTCTTAGAACATACATTGCAACCCAAATAGCACCATCCCATATCAGCATCAATTTTTGCAATTGTGCACATCAAAATACAGTTCTCAACCTGTGAGGATCAGTAAGAAAAGAAACTTTAGAACAAATAAAAATTGTAATTATAATATTGATTAAAAATTTGGAATAAAAGTCGAACAAAGAAATCATCCTTGTTAAAAGTCGAATTTGGAATTCGACAATGGTTTTTCTTGGTGTGTGAATAAAGAAATCATTATTTTCAGATACACCATTGACCAAAGTAAGAGGTTTAGAATCCACAATTGCCAAAGCAAGATCATCACGTGGCAGCCTAAAATTTTAAGAGTGAAAATATATGCTATTTGTATTAAATATGTGATATCTGTGTTTAGATTATTGTTATTGTGTCATTTAGCAAATTTCAATAAACTTAGAGCTGAAGAAATGATTCAACCTCAGGCATCTCCGGATTAAAGGAGATCCCCAACACATTGTAAGCATTGGAAATGCTACGATCCTCTGTATTTCAACAATTATTAATTATAGTATAATTAGATATTATTTAAATTTGTTTATAAAATTATTTTTACATTTCCAAACTTTTATCTTGACAAACCTCAGTACAATAATCAAAGATTGTTGACCATATGTCTGAAAAGCATCACTAACGTTTGTTGCAAATGGACTCCATAACCTAACAGGAAGACGATCATCACTGAAACACAACATAAAGAGTAAGTATTAAGAATTAATTTATTTAGTTTAACTACATATAAAATAATATTTGCACTTAACATATGAGTCATGTAATTTAGATTTAATGTACTCTGAATTTCGAATTTCCACACTTAGCTTGGGTGTGTCTTTCCCATTTGCAGTAACAATTTAACCATGGCTGACTTCAACAATTTGTACAATAAGATATGTGTAAGATAATTTAAATAATGTCAAAATATGTAATTATAAATTATTTTAAAAGCAAAAAATTGGTTTAAGAAAAACACATACCAATTAAATAGTTTGGATCCAAGGAACCATCCAGAATTCTCTGGTTATTAGGCTCGAACCCATTGAGTTCATTAGGCAGTCATTACAATTATGAATACCGGTTGTTGCAAGGAAAGTAATTTTTTAAAGGTGATTGGTTATTCTGTAGGATTCTAATGAGTGATTGACAGTAAAGTTAATGAGAATATCTGAACCACCTTGTGAGAGGAATGGGTCAAACTGATTAAATGATCCTTTTTCACTGTAGTATGGATTTTGTGATCCTATCCATAAGATAAAATGAAAAAAAAAAATCAATGACAAAGTAATAAAATCACAAGTTGAAGCATAATATTATAATGATATTAAACTAACATTTGTGTCGATTAAAATCATTTCAATGGTGAGACCAACAGCAGGAGAATATTGTTTCCAGAGACGTATGATCTTTACTTTAATTTTTCACAAGGATTTGTAGGGTTTCATGTCAGTAACTGAACTAAAAAATGCCAAATATTTGAATACATAGTATGTTATTTCTTAAATACTAATTATTAGTATCTTTTATTTTCTAATAGTTAGGGAAAACATATTAATTGGGGAGTTCTCTCAGGACTAGTGACCGAAAAGATAAGTGCACTTTTATGACATAGATAGCCAAATCAATCCATTTAAACTTATTCAAATGAGACGGGTCCGGTCGTTATAATTCTTCCCTACTAAACGGGAATTTGTCTCCGAATTCTGATCATGACAGTGTGAGCCCCCCCCCCCCCCCCCCCCCCCCCCCCCCCCCCCCCCCCCCCCCCCCTCAAACCCTAAGACAGTCTCCTGATAACCAGCTCATGGAACCTGCCTCTGTCTAACGGCCGGTGCATTATTTTTTCCGGAGCCCAACCAACTTATTTATTGGCCTCACTCAGACATCTCCGGATTAAAGGAGATCCCGCACATTGTAACTGAACTAAAAAAATATCAAATATTTGAATACATAATATGTTATCACTCAAATACTAATTATTAGTATCTTTTGTTTTCTAATAGTTAGAGAAAAACATATTAACTTCATGATCATAGTTGGAGAAAGACGTATTAACGTCAAGTATATTATTAATCAATTACTAATTTTTTAATTAATCATCTAATGCAGAATATTTATAACTCAGTCAATAATTAGGATATATTGTAATGCCCCCGACCGTGTCGGGATTGTGGGCTCCATCACTGTCCGGCGGATGGTGCATTACTTTTTCCGAAGCCCAACCGACTTATTTACTGACCCTGCAATCACCACATGATTTTTCCCTGTGTTTTGGCCTCACTCACATGGTTTCAGGAATCACTTCTAAGGTCACCCATCCTAGTCTTGCTCTAGCTCAATCACCCTTAACTGTAGAGTTCTCTAAGGTTCAGTGACGGAAAAGATAAGTGCACTTTAATGACATAGGTAGCCAAATCAATCCATTTAAACTTATTCAAATGGGCCGGGCCCGGTCGTTACTGTTCTCCTCCACTAAACGGAAATTTGTCTCTGAATTCTGATCACGACAGTAAGACAGTCTCATAGGACAGAACCTGTTTAACTTCCCAAGCTCTGATACCACTTGTAATGCCCCCGATCACCCCTACCAGCGAGTCGCCCATCCCTACGTCGGGCTCATGGGCCCTGCCTCTATCCAACGGCCGGTGCAATCACGACATGATATTTCCCCGCTTTAGCCTCACTCAGATAGTTTCAGGAAGTGAAAGTCACCCATACTAGTATGGCATACATATGATCCCCATATAATTATTATTACGGCATACATATGATCCCCATATAATTATTAGATCCTATATAAACCTTAATAATAGAGCAATAGATGATATGATTAAAATTAGAAGTTAATGCAAGTAATTTAGAATTTATTCATTCTAAACTTAAGATGATGTGATTTAAATTTTAAATTAATGTAATCGATTTATAAATCACTCAATAATTATGATTTTTTAGCATTTGTACTGGATAACAATAATTGACTATTACGGAAACAAAAACGAATTGATGGTATTAAGGCCAATTTTTTCAGTTATATACTCCCTCCATTTCACAAAGAGTGTCATTCTGACATTTTTCACATAAATTAAAAAAAAACTGATAAATGTCTGTTATACCTTTTATTTATACACTAAGTCATTATCTCTCTATAATTAATAAGCTAAAATTGTAGGGATAAAATTGAGAATTAATTTGAAAAATTGCATTGAAAATCTAAAGTGACATTTTTTATGTAACAAAAAATAGTGCCAAATTGACACTCTTTATGAAACAGAGGGAGTATTATACTAGTTGGTGATTCATGCTACGCGCGGCTATATGATTCATTTTTATATATTTTATATTAATTTATTGTATCGTATATTTTTGAGAATTTTAAGATGGATTTCTATTTATCACATGTATCTCTCTCGAATTTTCTATCTTTTTCAAATTTCTAGTTTGTGATCCGCACAACACAGAGATTTGATTATCATTTTATATATGTTTTATATTATATTTATTGTATCATATATTTTTGACATTTTGTGATTGTTTATTATTTCTATGTACCCATCTAGATTTTTTTGTCTTATCTCAAATTCGATCAAATATTATCTATTGAAGATTATTTGGTTTATTCAAACAGATAAGAGAAAATAACATATATGATATTAGATATCCAAACTATCCATTTAAGAATTAAAAATATTAAAATTATATAGTTTTTAAAAAATTCCCTCGACTTATCTGAATTTTCCCAAAATATTTTTTGAAGTTGACTTTCATCCTAATTATTGGAAATTTGTGAACAGATTTTAGATAATGCAATTTTTCAAACCCATCTCGTTACTCGAATTTCCAATTCCATTTTTATTAGATTTTCTAATTACCAATTATCATCACACACTCTTAAATTTCCGCTTTTAATCTTGAAATAGTCAAAGCTAAGGTATATTATTATTATTATTTTTTGTATTTTGTTGATTTTAATTTTCTGACAACACACTATAATTTTTTTGTTTGCTATTTTTATATTGAATGTTGATATCAATTTTATTATTTTCCATCTTTCTAATTACCAATTTTTGTTACACAGCCGTAAATTTCTGTTTTGAATCTTGAAATACTCAGAGCTAATGTATATCATCATTTCTTTTATAGTATTTTGTTGATCTTTTATTTTCTGACAATATATTATAATTGTTTTTTTATGTTTAATATTTTTTGATTGAATGTTAATATTAATTTTTATTGTTTTCTATCTTTTTAATTACTAATTCTTGTCACAAACTCGTAAATTTCTATCTTGAATCATGATATACTCAGAGCTAATGTATATTATTAATTTTTGGTTTTGCTATTTTGTTGATTTTTATTTTCTGACAACACATTATAATTGTCTTTTCATATTTGTTAATTTTTATATTAAATGTTAATGTTAATTTTTATTTTTTTTGTTTTTCTAATTACATATTCTCATCACACACTCGTAAATTTCTGCCTTGAATCTTAAAATATTCAAAGTTAATGTATATAATTAGTTTTTGGTTTCATTTTATTTTATTTTATTTTCTAACAACAGATTATAATTCTGTTTTTTTCTATTTTTTATATTGAATGTTAGTGTTATTTTGTGTTTTTTAATAATAAACAATTAATGGTGTAGTTGCTGAGGTGGCGGAAGGAGAAGTTAGAAAATATATTTTATTTTATTTTCTGACAATATATTATGATTGTCATTTTACTTTTTATTTTTTTATATTGAATGTTAATATTATTTTATGTTTTAAAAAAATTTAAATGATAAACAATTAATGATGTAGTTGATGCGATGGCTGGAGGAGAAGTGATAAAATGTAACTTAAAATGTAACTTTTTATATATATATATATATATTAGCACATGTATTTAACCTATGACAATAAAGTTTCAGTATCACTTGCATATTAATTTAAAGCCATAACATAGAATTAAGTTAAGCTAATTGGTTGTATTTCATTGTGAAAACTTCATTGTCATGGGTTTGAACCCACAATACTTTTTTTTTATATTCTAAATAATTTTTATATTTTTTTATCCCAAAATATTATTAGGTAGAAAAAAAGATCTTGAACATCAGTATATATTATCCCAAAATATAAAACGGAAAAATAATTAGCCAAACAAATCTAACGACTCCTCTCGTTTTTTGTACCACCCTACAAAAAATGTAAACCTAATAAGAGACTTCTATATATATATTTCTTTACTTGTAATGTTCTCTATCATAAGAAAAATAAAATAACAACAAACAATTTTTGGGGGGAGAAAAATCACAATGTCATCATTAAAAATAGCCATCTTCTGTATCGTCTTTGTTTCCCTCGCTAGTCTTCATGAATGTATGTTATATATAGTTTGGGTTTCGTTTATCAATTATTATCATCATCATATTAACATTCTAAGCATAATCATATCCTTCATAGTCGTTTTAATCATTTAATATCCCTTTTTTCTTATGTAGGTGGCTTGAAAGGGTTTCTCGGTTCTGATCCCTTAGTAAATCTTTAAACAGGTGAAAAGGTAAAAAAAATACCGTGCTTTCCATCCAATAGTTATGGAAAGTTTAGGTGTGCCAGTGCGAAAATATTGGTATACACTTTAGAAGAATGTTGGAATGATTGTCCTAAATTTAATTAAAATTAAAGATCAGTTATATATACCTAATGTTGTCATACGTTTACTCATTACATTATTAGTAAATGTTTATTTATTCATGTAATTTTACCAAATAAACGGTAATGCGTATCTTATTTGTGCTTAGTAACTTTAAAATTGTATGTAATACAAATATTAATTTTTTACTAGAAACTTTGTAAACATATTACTTTTTCATTTGTAAATATGTTACAATTTAATTGTTTATAAAATGTTATACTATATTTGTGTTTCATATCATTTTACGGAATGCTTACAAAGTGTGTGTTCGTCGTCAGGATGAACTCCATCTCACGTGTCCATCCACTAGGAGATGAATAGTTACATAAAATCCGATGATGTAGCCGTATGGGACCTAGAATAAACTAAGAAAATGGTCAATCAGCCTCCAGGCAGGACAGAAAAGGGGTTCATATAACGAAAGTTCTCTGACGCCCAAGTTAAGAATGCCCAACCAAGAAATATACTCAGGAGGGTAGATTTTAGGTAGGTTTATGATTGAATTCTATGTCTGGGGATCACAGTATCATCTGCTATTCAGTGATGACCATGGTGGTCAAATGATATTGCGAAAGGGGGGTTAGAAGGTTTTAGTGTTGCGCATAAATAATCAAGTGTTGAAGGTTTCAGTGCATAAAATTATTATGATGTTTACAGAAAGAACAAGGATATATTCCATTAGGCATGATTTATATAAACTGCCTTCTAAAAAGTATTGGTTTGTTGATTACAGTT